AAGGAAGAGAAGTTTTTCAGTGCTCCTCCGCTTACTTGCAAGACGATGCTATTGATATTGTCGCTGGATTCCAGGCCGGAGACGCAGCTGGTGGTGAGCGACGAGGCATCGTCGTTGAGATCCTCGTCGGTTTGCTCTTGCGCCTTGCAAACTTCGTCCCGGAGGCACTGCACGCTCCGCTCCAGGTGCTGTATGTAGTCAATTGCGGCGGCCAGGTACTCTTTCTTCCGGATCCAAGCACAAGGACAAACTAGAACCTTTTCGAAAAGGAGAAGTTTCTCCATACCTGGCTTTCGGCGGACATTCTCTTTGGTGAGCTGCTACTCATGGTTGTCACGAGCGCTGGCCGCCAAACGGAACTCTTCCAGGCAAACGAGACAAGGAAGAGAGAAGAAAAGAGAGACGACTTTAAACTCCCTACGTAGAACTCTTATATGAAAAAAAACAGACCGGGGAGAGAGAGGGAGAGAGCAGAGAGTTCACATGAAAAGAGTGGGATGCTTTGCACAGTGGCTTTCCAGTTGTTTCTATCCTTGTATATTCTTTATTGTTGGTGGTGGGCACTTTAGCCCCTCCCCTGGACAACAACAATGGAAGACTTGGGGTATTAAACAAAACAATCTTTGATTCTCTATATCTTTTGCTTCCTTTTAGCTCGCTCCTTATCATCACATTTACCATGTGATGAGAGAAGAGAGAAATCAATCCATCTGTTTTTTTGTTTTTTTTTTGGTTTTTCTTTGGTGCGTTTTTCTCCTTCTCCTATACAATGTACAAAGCAACAGACCTCTGCCCCCACAAAAACTCTTGGAATATACAAACACCTCCTCCTCCTCCTTGGCTCCTTTGCTCCTCCTTGGGAGTCTTCCAATCAATTCTTCCTGCCTTTGAAGATGACGAGACCGTCCCCGGAAGAAGGCCTTTGCTTCTTCCTCGACGTCACGCCTCTGGCAGAGCCAACGCTGCAGCGAGGACATATGTACTCGAGCCCGTCCGTCTTCGCATACTCCTAAAGCAAAGAAAGTTGGAATGTGAGCAAAACCACGCTGGACCGCCACCGTCCATACCTTGAATGTTGCCAGGCCCGTCCTTCTATCGCACCCGAAGTGAGCCCACTCGCCACAGATGCCGCAGTTCACCCAGTCGCCCTCTGCGCTGCTGTAAGTGTTTTTGTACAACCAGCGCGTCAGTGCAAATGGGATTTCCACAGAGAAAGAAAGTAAAGTCGTGCTCCGCTCACCTGTGACACAAGATGCAGCACTCGCCATCCACATCGTCGTGCGCAAGCTCGTACTCCAAAAGATATGTTTCGTAGTGCTTCTTTAGTGTATTGCCGACGCCCTGCCACAGAAAAAAACGACACATTTAGCCCCGAAGTCAACTTTGCGGGAAAAGAATGCCACATACAGTCATTCTGTTTGTTGTTGTGTGGTTACGCATCTTCGAAAATATTTGACCTTTCCAGTTGATGCCATTCCCAACCCGAAAGCCTCCTCTGGAGACGACCTGAAACATCGAAAGGTGGGCCAACAGGGGCTCCGCACAAAAGAAAAGTAACACGCGAAACTTACCTCCCGGTACAGGTTATAGAGATCGAGCCTCTTGCCGTTCAACACAACATCCGGAAAGGCCTCGATACCAGTTGGAGGAATGAGTCGACCGTGTCCTCTGGAAACCAAAAACTGGACAACGTCGTTAAGAAATTCCTCCTGTAAAGACCACATTAGTTACTGAAACCAGGCGTATCAAGAGCAAAGCAGACTTCACCTCTGGACACTCCAACATTGACGGGCGGCTGCAGTGATGTTTCTTGACGCTGGGAAGAACAATCGGAAACGTATGCCCTCCTCTTCCATGGCCTGACGGCGCAGACGTTCCCTCGGGTCTGGTGCTTTTAGTATTTCCATTCAGCTTCATGGACCAGCCAGCCTGAGCCCCAGCCGAAACCACGCCCGCAAAAGGCATCAACTTCCGCCGAGTTGCATGTGGTATCGGCTTCATCGCAGCGAGGAACACTGATTTGCTGTCGCCATTTAAAGGCGCGTCACCATTGAAGTTGATGCTCGAGAGGCACAGGTTCTGTCTCTTTCTCGTCGGGGCTGCTGGAGTGAGCCATGCAGGAATGATGGGCGCCTCACTGAAACCATTACAACGAGGAGAACCCAGTGCCTTCGGCGGCTCGTTTCTTAAAAGGCCCAGCCTCTCTGCGTCTTCCTGTTGGAATGCAGCGACAGGAGACCCTTCAATACCGGCAATGCCAAGAGCAACTAAGGTCTTGTACGATGTGTCAGTTGATAGCTGCCTCAAAGTCTGCAACACCACGATAAACGTATTTCAGAGCCAGCAGAAATAAAACACGGCGCACCTGAGCAGCCCAGTTTGGAACTTTAGCACGGGTCTCGACAACAGCAGCCCCGCACGCTATAGAAGTGGAACGCCTTATTTCAGCAGGCATATTATCTTCGGACATAATAAGTTGAAGAGCCTGGCTTTTCTCCATAAGCCCTTTCCTAATAGTAGATTCTAAAAACTGTACATGAAATAGTTAGAATCATCATTCGCTCAACACCAGACTTACATGATCGGCAAAACAAGTTTGCGCGCTGCCAGACACCACAAGAGATATGCGGGCGCTGCTAGAAGTACAAAGGTCACAACGCATAGTTACAACTCCACGAGCAAACGTTGATGCTGCAGAGGGTGGCGGAGGGGCACTGCGCACGCAATTCAGATGGTCAGAAACGAAACGAGGCGTATCCAAAACGACTCACCTGATTCGATGTATAAGACGCATGCCTCTAACCTGAAGTTGTAAAAGATAAATCGGTAAAACAGAACCTACGCGAAGCACGTACCTCTATTGCGAAAAGTGACGTCAAAGCGACCTCAACGGCTTGTAAAGAGCTTGAATCCTAGTAAACAGGTAAACAAAGAGTAAGCGCTTGTTAAACTTCGATCAAAGATAAAAGGTGAGATGTGTACCGACGCACAAGCTTCAGCACAGACAAGAAGGCGAATTTCCGTCTCTTCGTCATAAATTTGAATAAGAGGAGGATCATCCTCCATGTCTTTAAGAGGATCGTCAAGAACCGGTGGACCTTCTCCTAAGAGCATCGGCTGGCTGCCACTAGTTTGCCCATAATGTATCTCCAATGATGCATTCGCCAGCTCAAATGCATCCCAAGGATCACACCCAGGCCTGAAACAAAAACACGTAAACGAAGCTTTGCAGAGCTTCCAAGCAAAAACTTACGTCCTCAAGCACGCTACAAGCGATTGCCGAAAGTGAGCAGCAGCTAGAGAAGTCACAGAGCCATCCCAATGTGCAACATGCCTCACTCCCTGGAAAGAGGAAACACTTCCATTAGTTAGAAAAACAAAAGAAAAGAAAGAAAGAAAAAAAAAAACTCGTGGCAGACGTACGAGTGTATGGATGCTGTCGGCAACTTTTCCACTATTTGACGACTCAATGTAGACCTGCAGCGCAAAAGCGAACGTCAACAGCGTGTAGGAAACGGGCATGCGGAAAGTCCTTACGAATTCTGGAAGTTTCGAACCGATCATGGATTTCAGAGTCTCCCCCGTGACGATCTTCTCCCCGAGGCAGAGCGACCCGACTTCATTCCGGCCGGAGCCTCTCTCTCCCAGGAGCAGCAAAAACTCTGGTCGCGTGGCTTTCAGCTTTTGCTTCACCTCATTGTACGAGGGACAATCCATGAAATGAATCTTCAGCACAAGGAAACAACTTATCAGCAAACTCACACACACCAACTTAAGAGAAAACCATACCTCCAAATTTCCTCCCGACGCAAGGTCCACTGGCCGATCATCAAAGTTTCCATTATTCTCCGGGCTGGAGAGCTCGTTCTTCTTCTTCTTCCCACACTGCACCGCGAGTAGAAGAGAGGGAGGCTTGCCTCTCCCAATAAGCGCCTTGGACATCTTTCGTGGAGCCAAAAAATATATTCCTGGCTGCCAGCACCAAAGCAACCATAGCCAATCCCTAAACCCCTCAAACCCTAACCCTAACACCACCACATCGAGCTGCCCGGCTAGAGCATCGATACCATAGCCGCGCCAATCCGCCCCGGGAGGAGCCAAACTCGCGATTCAACCATCAATCGCCGCCGCCGCCACTGCCGCCGCCGCTGCCGCTACCGCGCGACCCGATATTTCGCCCGAAATCTGTGCTCGCGGCGGGGGATTCACTCGCTCGCTCACGCGGTGGAGGGAATCGGCGAGGAGGCGGCTAGATCCAAGCGCGATTGCGCACCCTAGCCTGCCCTAACCCTACAAGCAAAGGCCCAGGGATTCCGTTCTCATTCGCAGATAGATCCCACACACACACACATGGCACATAACACCCCCATGCCATAGGCTATGAATGTCAATAAAGGAAGTTGAATGGAACGAATGAATGGATGGATGGGGATGGGCATGGGATGGGATGCTCCCATCGCCATTGCCCATGCATCGCAGTTTCCAAGGATCCGACGTGGATGGAATGGAATTGGATTGGATTCCTTCCCACAATCCAGGCTTAATTTTTTTTCCCTCCGCGTTTTAGGGTTCTTGGGCAGTTTAGGCGTTTAGCGGGCGCTCGATCGATCGATCATGTATCTCATGTGCTATGTCAACGAGGAGGGCCAGAAGGTGTACACGATCAAGGTGAGCTTGGCGCGCCATAGCTCTGCGAGATGGAATTTCATGGGTTTTTTTGGCAGAAAGAGGCGCCCGATGGATCGCCCACTGAATCCTCGCATCCAGGTAGAGAAAAAAGCCCTCTTTTGTTCCTGCGATTGATTTCGATTTGGGATTTGTCCATCATCCAGCGCGATTCTCCCCGGACGATAAATTCTCCAAGCAGCGCGTGATGCTCAAGAAGCGATTTGGAATCCTTCCTACACAGAAGCCGCCGCACGAATATTAAAAGGAATATTTTGTTTTTTCAATGTAAGAGCAAGAGCCCTAATTTCAAGATTTTTAACTTCCCAGGATTCGAGCCTCTCCCAAAGCCCAGAACCCTAATCCTTGCTCTCGGCTAGGGTTCTTCGGGCGGCGGCGCGCGGAGGTGAGATGGCGGCGGCTATTCAATCCGTGCAGTGTTTTGGCAGGAAGAAGACAGCAGTGGCGGTGACATACTGCAAGAAGGGGCGCGGGCTGATCAAGATCAATGGCTGCCCGATCGAGCTTGTGGAGCCCGAGATCCTGCGATTCAAGGCGGTGGAGCCGATCCTCCTCCTCGGCCGCGAGCGCTTCGCGGGGGTGGACATGAGGATCCGCGTGCGCGGCGGAGGCCACACCTCCCAGATTTACGCCATCCGGCAGAGCATCGCCAAGGCGCTGGTGGCCTTCACTCAGAAGTTCGTGGACGAGCACGCCAAGAAGGAGATCAAGGATCGATTGGTGAGCTACGACAGGACGCTCCTGGTGGCTGATCCCCGGCGCTGCGAGCCTAAGAAGTTTGGAGGCCGCGGAGCTCGCGCTCGCTTCCAGAAGTCCTACCGTTGAGAGATCAAGGAAGAAGGAAGAAGAGATTTTTCCATCTTCTTTCTGCTACGAGGTACCTCTACTAGAAGTTTTTCTTGCTTTTGTTCTTCCTTAAGGAACTCTTTCTACAACATCAAAGTACTACTACGATTTTGGATGAAAGTTTTCACATGAATCCACCAACACAACGATTGCTACAAAAAAACTCCTTTGCAAGTGAGACCTTAGAACACGAGTAGCGATGAAACTTTCGGAAAGAAAAACTTGGAAGAGATGATGATCTTCCTATCGTTTTTGAGCTGCCTTGGCGCCCTGCGCTGCTTTGGAAGGCCCCTGTGTCTTCACTGGCTGCTTGGAAGCCGGTCCGGATGGCTGAGCCATGGCGTTCATCTGCATCAAGTTGCTGGCCCTCTTCTGGCTCAGAGGATAGCTGCTCGGCTTGATTTCTGGAGGCCCCGGAGCGAAGTCTGGCTGGCCCGTCGATCCCAAGCATCTGTGCCACATGTTGCTGTTTGGATCCACAGCTCGAGCAGTCTTGATGATCTCTGGAATCGGCAGCAGCACGTAATGCGTGTTCACCAGTCCAATGCTAAAGTTTGTGTAGCCAGCGAAGGCACCATGAACCTGGAAAAACGCAAGAAATGAATTGAGCTTTTCGGACACGAGAATGAGCTGTGTATACTATGTGCATACCGCATTCTGTCCAAGGACGCTGCAGTAGATGTGGTCCGACGAGTTGCAAGCTCTTGCTCGGATCATGTACGTTGGGTCGATGTATTTCACATCGACAGGGATGTTCAACTCCTTGAAGTGGGATTTAACCTGTAGATTGACACTCCTAAGTCAGATAATGTGAAGTTCGACAACCAAAGTTACTCACGAGATTGTACAGCCACTTTCCAGCGTCTCCTAGGATCGGATTGCCAGATGCATCAGTGCCTCCAGTGCCTTCGAGATAATTCTGTAAGAACCAGAAAGTGTTTAAACGGAAGGAGAAAAGTAAATAAAGGAAACAGTACCTGAGCAGCACCTTCGGCAATGACTACTACGCAGTTACCATTCTTGTCAAGCCTTTTCTTCATGAACGCTAGAACACCATTCTTTCCGTCCATTTCAAAAGGCACCTGTTCACAAGCAGTAAAAATGTTGTAGCCGGGTCACCAATCCATAAACCTCACCTCCGGAATCAGGACAAGGTCTACTTGGCCGCTGGCAAGTGTTGCATACATGGCAATAAATCCACTCTGCCTGCCCATGAGCTTAACAATACCAACACCATTGAGAGCGCTACTGGCCTGCAACAAAATGTATTTGGAGACAAGGTATAAACAAGCGGAAACTGAGTGCGTGCCTCCGACATACCTCAACGTAGGCAGCGTTTATTGCTCTTTGTGCTTCCTCCACAGCAGTGTCAAAACCGAACGTTTTATCAATCAAAAGAATGTCATTGTCAATGGTTTTTGGAATGCCAACAACGACAATCTTCAATTTCCGTTTGTAACACTGCACGCAGGGACGTGTCAGCAATCGGACACGTTCACTCACTCCTCAAGCTTACAATTTCGTAGATAGCGCTAGCTCCAGCATGAGAGCCATTTCCACCGATGACATACAGCATATTGATGCCCCACTCCTGCATCAAAACAGCTTCAATACTTCACTTGCTAAAGCTTACAAGGCACATTCAGTTACCTCTAGTTTGTCAACAAGCTCTTCAACGTTTGGGTGCCCACGCGAAACGCCAAGAAAACTTCCTCCGCGCATGTGTATGCCTTGAACAACCTTACGATTCAGCTGCATAAAAACACAAACGCGATAAGTACAGCAACGAGCAATGTTACCATACTTACAATGATAGGTGGCAACGTCTTATCAAGGAACCCACGAAAACCATACTGAATGCCCAAGATGTCTGTGACGCCGTAAGTTTCGAGCGTATAGACAACCTGAAAAGCACCGCACCAGAAAAAACATTAGAAAACAGCAGAAACTTGTTTATGCAAAAGCATGCGTACCTGCCGAATCACATCGTTAAGCCCCGGGCAAAGACCACCGCAAGTCACAATAGCCGCTCGCACCTGAAAAGAGAAAAAGAAAGGTACATTTTTGCATATGACGATACTCGAGAACTCGTACATACTGTCATTGGGTGAAAGTAAATCCACGCGCGCGGGCCTGCACGATGAGCCCTGCAGCTCAAGAGACATCCTCGTCACTTCATACTAAACAAAAGTGATGATATTTGACAAGGTACCTGATAACCAGCACAAGACAACGCCTCATACAACAGACACAAACAACCTCACTTTGTCGAAACAAGGAACTTACCACAGAGGCTTGAACTCCCATTCGCCCTTGGGCCCGTATTCGATACCGGCAGAAGTTGGATGACCATAGTGTACCACCTGTTGTTGGCGTAGTTTACCGGGTTAAGCACTTTGAAGCTACTGAAAGTCTGCGTTTTGCCATGGTACGTTTAAGTTGCTGTTCTTTCAAAGACCTTTACCTTGAGAAGAACTCTATCGTCGTCATGAACAAACAGACGACGCATATCCTGACTATCCGGAGTGGCTTTCGACGGAACAGCCCCTTCTTGAGGAAACGGCCTTACAAACACGAAGAGAGAAGTTTAGCACTAGCTCTTTTGTTTCCTGGCGTACCCGCTCTTGGCTCTGTAAGTTGATTCCACCGGAGGGAGAGGAAGAAAATCGGCGAGATGCGGCAATTCAAAGGGATTATCGCCCGGTGCATGCGGATCGTAGCGAACATCCTTGGGCGTCTTGCTATCTGACACCATAGCCGCCATGATGATCCCTTGGATGCGCTGCTCCTCGCGAGCAGCAGCCTCTTTATCCTCGCGCTCTTTGCGGCTCAAAGACCTGGATAGAATGCGTGCTAAGCCGGATGCTGGCGCGCTCGGCAAAACCCTAGCGGTCACGGTATTCTCACTACTGCTGCCACCAGATCCCCCGCTACCTGGATCTGCGCCTTCTTTCACGCCGCCGCCGCCGCCGCTAGGGCACCAACACGGACAACCTCCTCCCCGAAAGCCTCTCCTGAGGATCATACCATGTTGCCCACATTTGAAAAAGCCCTAATTTTTTTCCCTCGCAGGACGTGACCGTTGGATAAACACGCTTTACTACGCATGCCCTAACGCCCCGTCATCCGACGGTCACGATGCCCTACTGGTACACAAGCCACGTCATGGACACGTCCATCACAACTTGACACGTCACCAAATCTTTTTCTCTTAAAAGAAAACCCTTGGCGTGGAGAGCTCGTCGCAAAGCCTGGCCTCCACAGTGAGCAAGACGTCAGCAGCGATGCCCGTGCACCGCCCAAATAGATCAACCCTAGGAATCGATCGCGACAATCGATCACGCTCGAGCTTGAGGGAGATCCACAGGCACACGGCAAGCGCGGCGCGGGCATCCAGCTTTGGCAGCCGATTCACCTTGATCGACACCGCAATCCTCCGCAATAGCTGCATTGCCAGCGAAACCCTGTGATCCGAGCGCTCTAGCCCCAGAGCACCCTCCCAGTTCCGAAGAACACACTCCAATCTCCCCAGCGTTACCTACAAGAGAAATGCCGAGATTTAGATCCCTGAAAATATTTCCAAAGGCCTGATCGACCTTACCAGCTGCTGCGTGGGGATCACTGCCGCGTCGATTGCCGCATTCTTGCGCTTCCTACTAACAGGAATCACGGAATCCGGCGACGGCGATCTAGATCTGGTTCTTAGCTCGCTCGATCGAGCCCTCTTCGGCGCCGCGGACGAAACCTCCTCTTCCGCGGCTGGATCATGATCCATGGTGGAAGAATGCTGGCTGTGAATGGAATCCTCCGAAATATCGCCCAGGGACGCTGGACAAGCGCAAGTAGGGCACAGAGGAGAAGAACAAGGGCCCGGCGGCGACGATTCCGCAAGAACAGCCGTGGGAGAATGGCATCGACCGCAAAGAATCGACCTCAAGTGCCTGGCGACGATGAAATTCGCCCCGTGAACCTTAGAATCACACTTCCAGCACAGGTACGCTTCATCGGCGCAGCAATACACCGCCGCCCTCACCTGGCAGAGCTCACAATCCCTGGATTTCTCCATAGAATCCCCGCAAGATCACCAGCGCCTTGCTCCAACACTCATCCACAAGCCCGTGATCGATCTAACAGCACGTTGCGCGACACCAAGACCGCCAAATTCCCTCTGTTCTTCCTTTTGCTCCCTCGTTCGATTCAACTGCGTGAGGAGCTATATAGCCACGAGGGAGCCGCCACGTGGAATTCCGACGTGTCACGGGCGGACCAATCGCCGCCAGATATTTCTGCCGGGCGCTCGCAGCCACTCGATTTCCAAGGCCTGATCGCGCCGCGTGGCACGTACTTCTCGCCGACGTGGACCGGGATCGCAAAAAATGTGGTCAACAAATCTCGCCAGTACGGCCTGACCATTCCGTACGGCGGCCCAAGATCTTTTGCGTGGATATTTCCTCGGCGACACGTGGTCCCTCGTTCAAACGTATGGAAAAAGCAAAGGAAAAATGTGTGATGCGAGCGAGAGACACTCCACATTGGTATGTCAGTCCAGGGCCAGGATTTAATCGGCCATCCAAACCATTCGTTTGGAAATATTTTGGTGGTGGTGGTGGTCCCTTGTATGTTGCCTAGAGATGTGGATATGCACCATCCTTTCTTTTGGAATCTCAGACCACAAACCACACAAAACCATGGCGGTTAAAAGAATTGGCATATGCGTGATTGAGCATCTCCAGCGAATAAAAAGAATCATATTCGAAGACTATACGTACATTCCCGTCCGAAGAAAAAAAATTAGTGTCTTACAATGCCTCCCGTTTTTCGTCTTCCAAATTCTTGGAAGCCTTCGCTTTTAGTAGTGCTGCCGACTGTGCAAGTTGACCATGTTGTAGCTTGGAAGCACGGCCATTTGGTAGTGCTGCTGTGGAGCCTCCAGAGTGTTAAACGCTTGGAACGAGGATGAGGAGAAAAATCCATCGTGAAAGAACCTGGGATCCTGGGATTGATATGGAGCGTAGCTCGAGTAGCTTGTGCTGTCCATGACGAAAGAACCTCGAGTTCCTCCCATCTGGATCGGAGATCCAGAGGACGAACACGCTGCTGGATTGTAAGTTGGCGACACCCACGAAGAACACAGCGATTGAGCTGGCTGCTGGATGCAAGCGTCGAATTGCGTGTTATAAGCCGGAGAGACCGGATGAGCCATGAGACCACCAAAGCCACGATCATAACGCTGGAGATACCTGCTACAAACCAAGATCATGAGCTAATCCCAAAAGATGTGAAGAAATCTTACCTGTCGTAGCTTCGATCATAGTCGGGGTCCTTTCGATCCTTCTCACGGTCTCGGATGATCGCCACCCTGTTTGGAGTGCTCGGCTTTGGCTTGATCGCATTCTCTTCTTTGAAGATCCGCCTTACGTTCTCCTTGTCGTCTTTCGTACAGATCCTCGGCACTGTCGTCTCGGCACGCGTCTCTTTGTTGGCTTTCGCAGCTTCATCCTTGTTCTCCACCCTCACCACCTCGATGTGGCAGCAATCTTTGACGCTATCGTCGTCGCTAGAATCCTCCTGAAAAATCCTCGCTCTCGCCCTGTTGTATTCCTCCTTCCTTTCCTCCACACTCTTGCCGGAATCCACCTTGGAGTTCCTCTTGTCCCTGTAACCAGCCGGAGCACCCCTTTGCTTGATCGCTACTCTGGGCTGTAGAGCTTGAGCCACCCTCGGAGGAATATCAGCCAAGCGAATGCCACTTTGGCGATTCTCTCCGTCCAGGCTCTTCGTGACGTGAATCCTAGCGCCACCAGAGCTTTCCACCACGCTGGTCTTCAAGCCATAGTGCTGAGCAACGCGCTGTGTCGCGAGCTGGCAGAAAGGAGACCCCATCGGCTGGAATTCTAGCTGCTGGACCTCGGCATTCTTGGCAAACTTCTGTATCTCCTGCTCCAATCGAAGAACTGCATAGAGATTATAAGCTCCGGAAAGAAGGCTAGAGAATTTGGTACCTGTGAGACGATCGCGAGGGTTTTGAAGCGCTTCCAGCAGGAAATTGTCCACCTGATCGCTCACAATCTCGGGCGGGACGACGGTCGGCTTGACGAGGAGGATCTTCCGCCCATCGTCGACGCGAACGCCGACAACTTCGATCTGGCGGTCCCCCATAGATCGCCGCCGCCTCCGCCGCCACGCCGCCGCGGAGAGCTCCTAGACCTAGAAAATCATCCAGCCAGGAGCGCCGACCTAGAGATCTTACCGGGCGATAGCGGCGCCAAGGGAGCACCACCGCAGCTCGTCGCGTTCTTTCTCCGCCATGCCTAAAGGGCAAAATGCTTCCCAACCGTTGGATGCTACCAGTGCAGATCCAAGGGCTTGGATTGAGCCCAGCCGATGCATGGTTCGATTCCCATGGGCGATTGGGTGTAGCTAGGGTTTTTTGTGACGATGGAGTCGCCCGCGACTGTGGAGGCGATCTTCGAGGATTTCCGGGGCAGGCGCGAGGGGATCGTCAAGGCGCTCACAACGGGTAGGATTTCGATCGATCCATTCTCTCATCCCGGTCTTGAATTTTTTCTCGCGTAGATGTCTCGATCTTTTGCGACGAATGCGATCCAGGTTTGTGTTTCGGCCGATTTGATTTCGCGAAGAAATTCTTGTTTGTTTCAGTCAAGGACCTGTGCCTGTATGGCCTGCCCGATGGAGAATGGAAAGTGACCCTGCCAGTGGAAGAAGTCCCGCCTGAGCTCCCGGAGCCTTCGCTGGGAATTAATTTCGCGAAGGATGGAATGAAGAGAACGGACTGGCTGATTTTGGTTGCGGTACACAGCGACTCGTGGCTCTACTCGGTCGCGTTCTATCACGCTGCGCGGTTGCACAAAGCCGACAGGTATGCAAGCTTGTTCTTTCTTTCATGTTTCCTTGCGCATTTCTTGGATTGATTTTGCGTTGCTCACTCAACTCCATCCCATGTAGGCAGCGGCTTTTCGGAATGATAAACAATCTCCCCACTATTCACGAGGTCCTCGCCAAGCCCGCGAATAAATCCAGCAGCAAACCCAAGAGCAAAAAGGTTTGCTTTCTTTCGCTCGAAGTTCCAAAGTTTGGTGAAGATCTTAAGCATGAGTTCTTTTTGTCCAGGCTGCTCGCGGCAGCAGCAACAACAGCAACAGGCGGAGAAAGAAAGAGGAGGACGAGGACGAGGAAGAGGAGGAGCAAGACGAAGAAGAGGTGGAAGAGAACTCTGAGGAGGAGGAAGAGGAGGCGTTTTGTGGGATTTGTGCTGATCCTCACAACACGTCCCAGTTTTGGATCGCTTGCGACTCGTGCCGGAAGTGGTACCACGGTAGCTGCGTAAAGGTGAATGCAAGCAAGGCTGCCGGGATCAAGAGCTACAATTGCCCATCCTGTGCCAAGAAAAGAGCTCGCCACTGATTGATCCATTGAGCCGTGGAGGAGAAAAATCTCCAACTCTTGGATGGTGAGTGAGTGCTCTCTTTCTCCTCTTTGTTCTTGTATGTACACTCTCTCTTTTTTCTTTCTCTTTTCCTGGGCTTTGTCCAGCCAGTTTTGTAACAGCTTCTCAGTTTTCCCCAAGGTAAAAGATAGAAGGAAATAATATCCTAATTTATCAAAAAATCCCTATGGCAGTCGTAATTCTTTTTTTGCAATAGAAGAAACACTTTGTGAATCCTAATGCCATCATGAAAAAAACAGAACAACTCAATCAAAGCTCAATATCAAGGAGCTGTTGATCATGCTCAGCAAGGATGATCCCACCCCCTTTGACTCCAGGGGGCCACTGTAGTAGCGGATTTATCCAGAGTGGATATCGTTCTTTGCCATGGATGCCAGCCCAATCGAAATCAATAAAGGCCACCTGGGAAGTCTTGACATTGTAGAAGATGTTTTGCCTCCTTAGATCACCGTGAACCCAGAGCGGGTAACGAGAATGCAATACCTGATACGCATTCTTCACTGCCATCTTGCACTCTTCCCAGTCCGAAGGCGCCAACCTGTATTTGTTAGCCTCCTCCACAGCATTTCCATGACCAACAACCATCTCTCGCGGGTCGAGCTCTGTCACTGGCCGCCACCCATCCTCTGCAGCATAGTAGTCCATGGAAATCACCAGCCAGCCTCCATCAAGACCCTGGTGCTGGAAACGGGGAGCATAGCCATCCTCGGCCCATTGCTGGTGCACCTGCAAGCCATATCTCTGGCAGAACTTGACGATCTTTCGTTCACCAGCAGCATTCCGCGTATAGAACACAAGCTGCTGCTCCCTCATTTGCAGCGAGCTACTCTCGCGTACAAACCGAGTGACCACCGGAGCCCGTGCATCTGTGATGAAGTACGGGAAGTCGATGGACGGGTCCCTCTGCGGCCCCTGTTGCACCTGCAAGCCGCTGAGAGTCACGTAGGACTGCACTAAAGAGCTGATTGTCGCTGGAATGGCAGCTAAGGCTCTGGAAAGGAGTTGAAGGTGGTCTTCATCTTGGAGGTACTTGAGCATGTGTAGGAACGGTGTAAACGGCTCGTGAGCCGGCTTGTCCGTGAAATGAGCAAGACCGCCAACTCTCAGAAGCGGACCAACAAGTTCCAATGCTAGAACCGGGCAGCAAGACCGCTCAAAACTCCAGTGCCGCATACGTCTCTTCTCAACCGTAGCATCTGCATAGTACTTGGCCAATTCGACGCTAGGATCTCCATTGAAGCCACTCTCTGGCTTAACCTCAACAATCGCTATCAGCAACCATTCTTCCGCAACATATGCCTCCACCAAAATATCTGGTTCGGACTCGCCCGGACGAGCTTCCTTGAATCGAAAGCACATACCAGGACAGCTGAAGTTGACGTAATTCTCCAGTAACAGAGTAAACGCGTGCTGCCGAGCTCGTTCGTCGTCATAATAAGCACTCATCCCGTCCATCATATCCTTCACGAACTCCCAGTCCCTTGTACTTAGAGCATGGCACCTGAAAAGCCTGGCGTAGCAGCCGAATGCCTTGCTCACCAGCACGAGAGGTGTGGTGACTGCAGAGGTCCGCCCAAGGTTGTAAATTGGATCATCTGTTCCCAGATGCTGGCGCATTTCCGAAAGGGACTTTGCCACTTCAGGTGCAGAACGCAGCTTCTTATGGCGCCTGATCCACTCGTTGTCCGCAGGCTCCGTCTGCAAACAAAGGCATTAACACAGATGCGGTAGTAAAACACGCAAAAGTGCACTCACCTGGATGAAAGTGCACGTAAATCCATCCGCAACTGGTGTATCGAGAAGCAATCGTGTCCCTGAATCAGAAATGAGATAGCCCTTCCAACCATCCAGCTCCAGGGTCCTCAAAACATGAGCCACCACCGCGCCCGGATAGGCATCTGCATGCAGGATCACGCGACCATCTGGTGCCTTCACTGTCGCGCCCGCGCTCGACATCGCTAACAAAACCCCTAAGTGCGGCGCAAACCCCTGGATTAGTCAAAAAAATCAATCGACCTCTACAATCCAGTCTCCTATGGTCTGGGTGTTCAATCAGTGCTTCAATGTATATGAAGAATTTGAGAAGTGAGCAGCTTACTTGTGGCTGTTGCTGGGAAGGGAAGAGATAGAGGGATCTCTGGGGACAACACTCTATTGTGATGGGAATCAATGCTCTATTATGATGGGAATCCAGGTAGTCAGCAGTTGGATGATCTTGGATCGCAACAAAACTATAGTTTCCAAGCACCACACTTATGACATGAGTAGAGAAATTTGCCCTAGCTAGCTGAGATTTAGCTATCCAGGTCTTCTCAAGGCTGAAGTTTTTGGCTTTAAGCAGATTTTTGGTTTTTTTAGCAGCAAAACTAAGAGAAAAAAAGGTTTTCTTTCTTTTGCTCGAAATTCCAAAGATTCATGAAGATCTTCAGCATGTAAGTTGCTCGCAGCAGCAGCAACAACAACAGGTGGTGAAAGAAAGAGGATGAGGAAGAGGCAACAGGTGGTGAAAGAAAGAGGATGAAGAAGAGGAAGAAGAGGTGGAAGAGAACTCTGAGGAGGATAAGGAGGCATTTTGTGAGATTTGTGTTGATCCTCATGATTTGCGCAAGTTGCAAGTGATCCAAGACTAAGATGTGTTGCGTTGTTGACAACACGTCCCAGTTTTGGATTGCTTGCAGCTCATGCTAGAAATGGTACCATGGTAGCTATGCCAAAATAATGCAAGCAAGGCCAGATCACTTGCAAAGTCGTGCTAGAAGTAGTACCACAGTAGCTGTGTCAAGGTGAATGTAAGCAAGGTTGTGGCCTTACTGGCATTCACCTTAACATAAGTACTATGGTACCACAACAGGGCTCAAGAGTTATAATTGTTCATATGCACAGTTATAGAGGAGAAAAATCTACTTCTCTCAAGCTGCCTTGAGAAGTGAACCTCTTTGTTTGTGTTATACGCTCTCTCTCTTAAGCTGGGCAGTTTTGTAACAATACGTTAATGAAGTTATATAAGAATATATTTATGTAACTGTTGCTTTTCAAATTGATTTGTTGTCTACAAACAATTACTTGTTATATACATTATTATTAGATTTTGAATGGATATTTTAAATTTAAAGGTTATAATTTCTTTTTGTGTTTAGTTTAGAAAGTTTGAAGACTATGGAATGACTCATTGCTACAATAGAGAGGAACAATTGCCAAATGAACTTTGCAGCCCATAAACAATTGATTAACCTGCTCAATATTAGAAATCAGCTTGCTATACACTATATTTATGAAAGTCATTAAAGTGTCATAGAAAGAGGTGATAACCTCAGTTATGCTATTTAAGCATAAGATCACTATTTAACTAGCAAGCAGATTTTGTAGAGCCTAGGTTTTCACCTAGGGAGAACTATATTTGTGAGGGTAAATATAAATGTCATACAACCAAGTAATTATATCAAATCATTTGCTATAACCAAATATGTCAAAACATAAATGAAGGATGGGGCTTTTCATTTGGTTGTGGACTATTACAAGTCACTATTTTATGACTTTGATTATCCTTTAGATGTTGAAGCAGCTCTTCAAGGCCTAGTTTTTCATGAAAATTGATCTGTGTGGTGCTTACAACCTCATTTTTATTTGGGAGGTTATAAATGCAAAATACCCTTTTACACTTGTTATAACCACTTTAAATATATGCTAATACTTTTAGATTTGGCCAGTTCCTTTATTATTTTTTGATATATGGCAAATGATATTTTTCTTGATTTTCTTTATCTTTTTATTATTATCTATCTTGATGACATTCTTATCTTCTCTTAAACTTAGGAAGAGCATAACCATCATGTTTAATTTGTTCTCTAGCACTTTAAAAAATATGGCATTTTCTAAAAAGTTAGAGAAATGTTATTTTAATTAAAATTTAATAGAGTTTTTGAGCTTTATTATTTCCTTATATAACATTTTGCTAAGGTTT